TTTACCTCTTTGCCTTTTGGCTGCGTGCAAGTGGGTCCTTGTGACACACGGGGATGGGGGCAGCCAGCGCTCAACCTGTCATCCACGTGGCTGGCCTTGTACGTAAGAGGTTATGAACAGGTGGAGCTTTCCTTAGCTCTTCCCCCTCCCCCTTTTTTCCTTTTCCTTTTTTCTTTCCCCTTTTTTGCGCTCTGATTCACAATGTGACAATATATATCGTCACAAATATATGCACATGCCAACTATATATTTCAGACTTCGACCGATTTATTCACTGAAAGACGAAATTTTTGAACACCAACAAAACTTTCTGTGCCTGCAAATCCTGTACCCATCCACATGCGAAACGTCGAGCCACGTCATCAACTAATCCCTTTCCCCTCAATCGCAATCCACATGACCGCTTCCCGCCTTCTCCATTCCAACCACACACTCGAGCGCCTTGCCTCCAAGCCAAGCCTCGTCACCATTGCTCGTCAACTTCCCCCCGAACACAACGCACCCTCATCATGCCTATATGCAACCACAAAGTAGTTTGGACAAAGTAGTTTGGACATTAGTGTGCGTTGCCTCTGGGGAAACACGGTATCCCCAGTTTTGTCCACTGTTATCTCATCCTATAGCTGCTTACTCGCTCCCGCTGCCGACGATCACCACCTTTCCTTCCTTCCAGTACCCACGCACGTTCCTTCGCTCTACACACAATCAGCTCCCCCTCGCTCAACTCATCAGTTTTCCTTCTCACGCAATCCCTTCAACACCCCCTTTAGTACGTCCGCCATTAAGTCAACCACCCATTTATTAACCCCCATAAGGTAAGTCCTCGCAGAGTAAGCCCCCATTAAGTACGCCCCCTACTCTTCATCTCCCCGCAGAGTAAGCCCCCATAGAGTACGCCCCCCACTCTTCATCTCGGAAGCCACCCACGTCAGTCCTCCCTCGCCTTCCATGACCCCACCTCCTCACCATCTACCTAGCTTCGCCCTGCCACCCCAATTCAACCACCCACCCCCTAACCCTCCCTCTCGCCCAACCACCTACCTCCGCCCACCCACCGCCCCCCCGCCACCCTCCCCTGAAACCCGAAGTAGCCGGGCCGTATCCTCGACCTGGGCCCATGCTCTCTCGCTCGCGCAACACGTTTACCAACCCATGCTCTCTCCCTCTCGCACCGAGTTAACCAACCAATCCTCTCCCTCTCACGTCATATTAACCAAATAAACCCACCCCCCTTCACCCCACGTAAACCAACCCATGCTCTCTTCCTCGCGCACCGAGTTAACCAACCAGTGCTCTCCCTATCGCGCCATATTAACCAAATTACCCCCCCCCCCCCCCCCCCCTTCTCTTCACATCAATCACGCGCTAGATCTCTTCACAATCACCACACACACCGAGGGGGAAGCAACACGATTGTGACGGATAGGAGCGAAACAAAGAGGCAGACACCAAAACCAAACGGGGAGCGATGTAATGAGTCATCAACCAGACAAGGGAAGGGCAGAGACTGCAAGCAGAAGAACGCAGAAACGCGGCAAAGACGAGCTCAAGAGAGAGAACACAGTTGGTCAGCGAGTGAACAACTAAGGGGCCGTCGGCGTGACTTTTACGACAAAGGGCTCCGTTCAGAGGGGACTAGGCGCTTTGCATCCCTCGTTACCACCAATAAAAATAATGGGTGCGAAGGACAAGAAGAGGTACAACGAAGGTGGTCGGAATGCGGGGAAAGGGAGTACCACAGAGACACGGAGAGACGTCAGTGAAGATCCGTCAGTCAATCTCTCGCCACCGGTAGGTCAACACTTGCCCACTCAGCCACAACATATTACTAGTATATTTCAATGCTACCATCGTCCTCGCGATCAAACAATAAACACACCGTCCGACAAGTTTCCCGCTCTTATATCCTCGCCCTCCTCCTCTTCCCACCCACTATCGAACAACTCCCAACCCCCTCGAGTCACACCATACCCTATGTCCATTCACTGCATATAGGTCAGCGTCTTCTACTTCAGCTTCTACTTCCTCCCGCCTCCATCACCATCCCCGCTAACCTCCACTCCCACCTCCTCCTCCATCACCGGCTTCTTCTACTGTCTCCCCCTGCCTCCGTTACCATCCCCGCGAACGTATCCCTCCCGGCATCTCAGCCTTTAACGACCACACCCCTCCAGAAAACCGAATTTGGTTTGGCGGTTAGCACGAGGACAAGCACGCACTCTCAAGTGTCGCATCGTTCAATTTGGCTAGAACGTAACAAACTTCTTCATCGAGTGCGTAATCAGATGGTGCTACCGTCTTCACCCGAATAGAACGCCCGGTAATTATCGCTGCATCTGGACTGAAAGTTGTGCCAAATGCAGCTATAATCACCGAGCGTTCTATTCGGGTGAAGACGATAGTTGCACGTGGGCTCAACATAATACTTGCGACACCGTTGTGTAAGAAGAGCATCGGGAAGATTAGGCAGGGGAGGAAGAGGAATGACAGGCTCGCTAGCAGACGATAGCAGCATCGCCACTCGATCGAATGCAGGTCTTAACTCCAACGAAAATGGTGAGAGAAGGGAGAAACGAGGAACAGACGGCGACAGGAAGACAAAACGGCGCATTTCGGCTACAGAGCCCCGAGAGGCGGGGCCAGCAAGACAACTAAGAAGCATGTACAGATCAGATCTTGTCATGAGTTGCAGGAAAAGGAGAGATACGAAAAAAAGAAGCAGAGAATAGCGAGAGTAGAGAGAATTACACCGCCGACCCAATACCCGCTGGTCTTCCCACAAGCCCCATTCATAGCCCTCTTCACCGACGGGCAAAGACCAAACGCTCCTCCCCCACCCATCTCATACCACATGATGACTCAGCGTCAGAAAGCCGCCACGTGACTTGAACTCTCGAGTCTAATCCAATCTACTCGAGGGCTGGACAGCAGAATCACATTCGCACAATACCAAGTTTGACCTTGCAATCGCTGATAGGGCACCTGAAATGAAAGCCTAATGCAGTAAGAAAGGGCAGGAACGAAAGAGGTTGCACAGTATGACCGGCGAGAAAAGGATGAGGAACAGAGAAGGTGCAGAGAGAGAAGGGAAACACAGGGTAAAGGAGGAGAAGAGTGATGGGGATGAGGAAGCGTAAACGCTGTGGAAGGGGAGTCAGAGGTGGAGGGTTCACTACAAATCGCGACAGAAGTTTGTTGCCAGGTGGCTGGTGAAACGACGGAGACGAGGACCTCAGGGAAACCGCCACGTGGAATGCACACTGACTCTCATCTACTCTACTCGAGGGATTGGCAGACGACAGGAAAAACGTTGATCATAGACGTAGGAAGAGGGATCATTAAGGGTCAAACGGAGAGACAAGATAGGCGAATAGGGGGTTCCACATGAGGGCTGTGATGAACGTCAGCACACGTACCTTGATGAGCAGAGTAACGGACGACGGAGCCTGGCCGTTAGACGTGACAGGGACGACAACGATGGAGCCCACAGCGTTGCCGCCAGTGCTACCAGCCGCCAGATGCAGCTCTTCGTCACGCCACCTACGCTTGATCATCCAGAGTGCAAGATGGCAGATGGCGGGTGGTATGACCTGCACAGGCACCGACTCACTCACCCTACCCGTAGCCGTCCAGCGCGTTCGCGCTCGTTGGCGGCTCATTCGACTAAGGACTGCGAAAAGACAGAGAAAAGAATTTATTGCGACCGTCGATGCTCGAGATCTACGGCCGCAAAGCAGACTTGCTCGCCCGCTCTGGCTCGATGACACAACAAACCATGCAGTGCAGCGCGATCAGTTGTCATATTACGTGCCTGGCCTCTCACATAAACCAACTGCTTCGGGCACCCTCAGGCTAGGCCTTCCTTCCTGGCCTGGGTTGAACGTGACCCCGTCAAGAGCAATCAGATGCATCCGGGTTTTATTTTCCCCCTAAAGCAATCAGAATTGCCACTTGGAAGTATGTTGCGTTCATGCATACTGGGTTACCTTTAGGCGTGACTCGGGGGGTACCCCTTCGCAGCGTAGCAAATGATACTCGCTTGTCGATATGGGCGTTCTGTCTCCGCGGCCGCCGTGCTCTGCCGCGCAACCCTTCCCCAGTACAGCATAGTACAGCATAGCACAGCAGAGCTTGGTTTTGAAGACTACCTCGCGGGGATTTTTTTTGAACTGGTGCTGCTTTACCGGGATGTGCTGTGGTTACTGGTGCTGCTTTACCGGGATGTGCTGTGGTTACTGCCGTGGTTGACTGCTTTGTCATTGTTTGCCATGATTGGCTGTGTTTTGCTAGGCTTCACCATGCTTGCCGTGCTTATAGCACAGCACAGTGGGCAGCTATCTTTCAGCCTCCTTCTGATTCAGGCAACACCCCTGCTCCATATAGTGCCGCTGTCAGTGCAAATACCCTTACAAGGGTATCTGCCATGGTTTTTTGCAAGTGACAGAAATAAGTTTGGTTTAGAGTCTGAGTATACCGCGCGAGTCGTGGTTGTGTCTGTTGTCTACGCTGACTGAATGGTTGACTAAGAGTAGAGAGAATGTGTGGGCGCGTTGTCGGGGCAGAAACCCTTACAAAGGTATCTGTCGGTGTTTTGACGGCTCGCGGGAAGGCACCGTTCTATCCGTAAACTGACGGAGCACCGATGAGCGAGAGAGGGACAAACCGAGAATATTTTGTCGCGGCACGGCAAAATATTTCATGGGTATCCCAACCTCGTGTACACATTTTTTTTTCCCTTTCTTGCACGGTATTGATCCCGCGACTCTCTTCTATAAGTTTTGTTACTCGAGCTTTGGGGCTGGGCACCCAAGTAGTTGTAGAAAGGGCAGATGACGCTACAAAGGCATACCGTGGGAAGGAAGCCGTGATGGCAGGGACGTCGGGGCTACCATTCCCTTTCGCTCCCACCATCAAAGCGACACGCGACGACCTAAACAAAAGGTTGTCGGCCACGCGATTTAGGGTCCGTCGAAGGAAAATATCGATGTTAGAAAAAGCGCGACTGCGGCATAGGAAAGGGAGAAATCTAAGAAGGGGGTATCTAAAAAAACTACCGTAGAGGACCTACCCTATCGCAATCCCTATAGGACTTAACCCGGCTTCTACGCCGTATATGCGCGCCATGTCATTTAACTAGGCTAAGCGAGTGTCTAGGTAATATGAGAAGAAGCTGCGAAGATAGGCACGACGGAACCAATCATTCCCCAACGTTCCTACCGTTAGGACAGTGCACGACAAACTAAAGAAAATGGGGTCAGGCCGCGCGATTCAGGGCTCGACAGTTGAAACGGCCGCGCCGGACAATGGTCCGAAGGTGACGTGAAAACAGGCAAAACAAAGGGTTGAAGTTAAAAATTTATCTAGGAAAATTGTCGGTAAAAGCATTACCTATTTGCACCTAGTGCGGGGCCTGACCCCGCGCTTGCGTTATGCGCATTCACCGTACTACCCAGTTGGGCCAATAAAGTAGTATGGCGGCACAAGGAGAGACCGCGAGTAGAAGGAAATAGGACCACGGGGAGGGTACCTCAAAAGTGTTGGCGGGGCACCACACTTACCCCTTTAAATATCGATGGTGCCCTACCTATACCATGGTCAGGGTTAGTCCAACAAGTTTCGGTGACAAACTGATAAACGACAGACCTATGGGTCGAACCTCCAACCGTCGGGTTAACTCTCCTTTTGGGCAGGACCGCGGAGCACGACGAGACGGTGTCTCAGGAGTACCGGCAGGGCACCGCGCCCACCACTCAAATACCGGTGGTGCTGCTACCTACACCGTGGTAGAAGTTAGCCCAATGGGTTCGGGGCAGACTGACAATTACCGGACACGGGGATCGAGCTCACACACCTCCAACGACAAGGCCAACTTCTTTTAGTAGGTAGCAGGCAGGTATGATGGTGCCCGATTCGAATGCAACGGAGTGCAAACTCCGCCATGTGACGCCCGATTCGAATGCAGCGCAGTGCAAACTCCACCACGCGATCTTGGAAATCGCGCAATCGGGGTCCACCGCTGAGGGTAAAACAACTTAAAATTTATCTCTTCAAAAGCGACTACGGGGAGGGATTCGAGCAGTGGGGAGCAAGAACAGGGAGGCGGAATGAGAGGACAACGGGGAAACGAAAAAGGACAAAAAAAACAGAAAAGAAAAAAAAGAGGAAAAACGACTAAGGATTTTCCCTCGGCGAGAGCCTACACGCAGGGGTTCGAGCTGGGGGCAGGGGGATGGAAAGGAAAAAGCGTGTTAAAAGGGGGGGGGGGGGTGAAATATAACAAAACAAAAAGATAAAAATAAAAAAAGCAAAAAGAAAATCGAAAGCGTCAGATGGCGCGACGATAAGAAAAACAGGCAGAGGGATTTTGAACCCAGGAACCACAGTTGGCCTCACCTAAAACGGATCTCAACTCCCCTCGACTTTTTTTTTTTTTTTTTTTTTTTTTTTATTCGTTTCTTTTTTTTTCTTGCCACCTTTACCCCGTGGTTGCTTATGTACCAACGGCTACGAATCTTCCCGGGCTCCAAGGGAAGATTGATTCTCGAGTTGCCCACGGTGTGAGCAGGCCCTGAAAGATAAGTTGCTTCCACACCCACACGGCGTCTGGATTCGAACCGTGACGCCTGGTTTAGTACCGCGGGAAGGTTGTGGTTACGACTGGGGCAAAGTGGTCATGATGGCCCCTCCCTTTGGCCTCAGCTGAGCCATTATGGCCGCCCTGCAAATTCAGCACCCCCACGTTCGATCTTTCGGATCCTGGGGGTGGGGTTGAGTTTCAGGAAGAGGACACCATCATATGGAAATAGGACAGGAGGAATCATGGAGGGATTCCCGCCATTGAGATCAATGGATCTCGTGGTTGGGAACCCACCAAAGGGTGAAGGGGACTTAAACTGAATAAGGAACTAAGTCCGACCTTCCTCTGACGTACCGATACTGGGGAAAATAGCCAGGTACGTCAAACTTTGAAAATTCATAACTCCTGGAATAATGGTAAAAAGAATACAAGAAAAAATGTTTAAGAAATGAGACAACGTCAGCCATCTCGTGAGAATTACGAGATGACTGATTGAACTAACCATGAACAGATAAAAACGGGAGAAGGGGGAATAGTCAAAGTCAGTCGCACTAAGTATGCGGTTGCGGTGCGACAACGTCACATCGTCGATCTCGCAACCACCATAGCCACAAGGTGGAGGCACCTTACTGCCACTTTGGGTTGGTACCGGACCTGCGACACATGTGCTAGGGACCACTCCATTGGAGCGGGACTCCTCTCCGGGCTCAAGCGAGCGGCATTTTGGACCTAGCATCAGCCAAGGATCAGGTTATTATTTTTGAGCTTGGACGTGGCCGACGTGAGGGTGCACGCTACCGGAGTGATCGAGCGGCAAGGCTACGTTCGCATGTGGAGGAACGTTGTTAGCCTTGTCGTACGTGGATATCGAAATTAAATTGCGGAAGCGTCGTGGGACCGCTGTGGGCCCGCCGTTGGGTTTGGTTTTGACATCAAGGCGGTGCCTTTTATTTTTGAGAGGATCTCGGTTTGTGGGGCAACAAGGCGACAGTACTGCTCACCCGCTTGTTGGCGGTTCGCCGCGGTAACATCATTTTTGGGGGGGGGCATGCCGAGTGTGTCGTCGCGGTCCGAAGGAGGTACCAAGTGCGGCACGTGCTCGAGACAAACACCGGTGCAAACTTGTGGCGGTGCTGCGCCGCATCGACATTTCTATTGATTGGACCGTCGACACCAAATTGAAGTCGCTCGACGTCGAGGGATTTATTTTGGATTGCATCGGCGACCGTCATTGCATTGAGCTTGGCGGGACCAACTTGGGACCGGAGGTGCCGCTCATCACTTGTGGGACTTGCCAAAACAAGTAAGGACCGCTCAATAATTGTTGGGATTCACAACGCCTGTGATTTTCTATTCAAGGCATTTGGGAACTCGGTTGACGTTCACGGTTAAACTTGGCTTTCTTGGGTGAGCCAGTCGGCATCGGCAACACTTCATTCAAGGTCAGTTAATGACTCAGACCCCTCACTCCCCACATGAACCCACACTTTGCTTGCCCCATTTTTATTTCTTTGAATGTTCAGTTGAAAGGAAAAGGTTTGTTTTGTGTGTGCTCAAACGTGACAAGGGATGTGTTGTCTGATCTCGTGTGTATTTGTCTACCCTCGGAAACTGTCTTCAACAGAAAAATTCCGACGAGAAATTAAAATTGAAAAAACATTCCATAAAAAAAAAAATCCTTCCTATTTATAAATTATGATTCCAATGTTTGTCCAATTCTAAAATTTCCAGTTTTATTTGATAAGTTCCCCTCTAAATATAAGTTTTCCCTTCCAACTACATCTATTTGTTCAAAATGGAATGAAAGTCTGGGCGAGTTTATGAAATATTTTAATTAAACATTCATTCTACTACAACAAATATCTTCTAATTTAGGATTAACTTATTTATGACTGAAAATCCTTACTTAGAATGATAGTCCAATTAAAATATTTCATGAACTCATCCACACTCTCATTCCATCTCTACATGCAGTTCAAATAAGAAGGGATACCCCATTCTTGGAAGAAAACTTTTCAAGTAAGACGGAAAATTTTAAAATTGGAATGACATTTTTTAAGATGGAATGAAAATTTGAAATTTAGAATGTAATTTTACTATAGAATGAATATTTAATTATGATAAATTTTTCTGTTGTTGGCTTTGTATTTTGTTGCAGGCATGTGAGCGAAAACTTTGTATGTCTAACGAAGACTAGGGCCTTGCAGGTGTGGTGCTCCATCTATGAAAAATTTAAATGCTCATTTATTTTGGTTCGCAAGATCCTTGGTCGATTGAGCGTCACGAGGGAGTCTTTCTTCATTCGGTTAGACGTTTTCCGCATTAGGAATTCAACAGTATGGACCGTTCGTTATACAACTATGAGGCGATCCCCATCTATTACCCACGATGCGATGAAACGGGTTGGCAAGACTCTTTTATTTTTACACCCTTTTCTTGGACTATTTAGTGCATAGAAAACAACTTCGACAACGACGACAAACATGCACTGAGCTGCATCGTCTGGCTCGAGCGGGCGTCACGGGAGGATGGGGGGGTCTCAGAGTCAGATTTCTAGTTTCTGTAGGCATCATGGAACCAAGCAGCGATAAGATTTGCCCCACTAATAGCCCTACGCACGCTCGACGTCGTTCTATTTATAGCCCAACCTTTTGTATATTTTATCTCATTCATAGGTTCTTACGTCATTGGTTCTTTAAGACGATAGCAAGAGTTAGTCCGTCGTGGTCTCCGACACTCCTCCTTGCCACGTGCCTCCTGCTTTCGTTGTAAGCTTGACTTTGCTCCGTGACGCTGTGGTGGCCCCGCACCGATCGGACAACGACTATCCTCCCTTCTGAGTTTGCCTCCTTCCTTCACCCCTTTAGACTTCCTCCGTGTCTCTCTCCTTCCCACGTTTTTCCTGTTATTGGTCCGCCATGGCTTGTCGGTCAATCCGTGTTTCCTCCTTCCGCTGTGAGCTTGACTTCGATCCGCGAAGCCGGGCTAGCCCCGCTCAGTCCGACCAGCGACTATCCTTCCTTTCTAAGTTTGCCTCCCTCCCTCTCCCCTTTAGACTTCCACCTCGCCTCTCTCCTTCCCTCGCTCTCCCTCCTATTTCCACAATGATCGTACTCCCGCTCCTCTCCCTCTTCTTATTTTTCGTTCATTTCAAGAGATCTCATGCAAGAAAGAAGAACGGCTCCCTTATGAGTTTGCCTCCCTCCCTCACCCCTCTAGACTTCCTCCCCACCTCTTTGCTTCCACCGCTCTTCCTCCTATCGTTCTGACTCCCACTCTTCTCCCTCTTTTTTTTCCGGACACTTCAAGGGGATCAGGCGGGGAGGGTCGACGACTATGGTGGTGATGATGTCGTTGATGACGGGGCGCGAGTGTGGCTTATCGTGCAAGAAAGAAGAGAAAGAAGACCGTCGGGGTCAGGGTGGATGGAGGGTGACATCCAAGAGATGTCGTACAAGATGGAAGGGAGGCAGCTTGGGTAAGGAGAGAGGAAGGTTGAGTGGGGCCTTAAGGGTTTCTTGTTGATACCGCCGAGCGTGTAGCTTGCCGTGCGATGCGGGGGGAGGAGAAAACATGGATGACGGATGAAGAACAACAAAGGAGGGGGGGGGGGGGGGAATTCAGGGGAAGTTTACGAGGAGGAGGAGACGAGGGTGACAAAAAAGTTGACGAGGAGCGCGGGGGGCCGTTGACAACGATGTTGCAGTTGCTGATGATGGGCACGTTATGCGAGAAGTAAGAGAGGCGGGGCCAGGATGATGAAGGGTAGCGGAGGGGTCGGGGGGAAGGGATTCAAGAGAAGTTGATGGGAAGGAGGAAACGAGGATGAACTTGATGATGAGCGTGTGGGGCTGTTGACGACGATGTTGGTGATGATGCAGTTGTTGATGATGGGCGCGTGATGTTGGGAGGAGGAGAGGCGGAGGTGGAATGGTGAAGAGAAGCGGAGGGGCTGGGGGAGGAAGGGATTCAGGAAAAGTTGATGATGAGGAGGAGGATGACATTGATGATGAGCATGTGGGGCTTTTGACGACGATGTTGGTGATGATGCTGTTGCCAATGACGGGCGCGTTAGTATGTGGGAAGGAGGAGAGGCGGAGCCGGGATGGTGAAGAGAAGCGGAGGGGCCAGGGGGAGAAATACAGGAGCGGTGGTGATGTTGCAGTCGCCAATGGTGGGTGCGTCGTGCGAGAAGGAAGAGGGACGAGGCTGGGATATCAGGGGAAAATTGAGAATGTGAGGAGTTGTTACCGGTGCTGAATTCGATGATGATGATGATGATAGGCGACCGAAGTACCTCTACCTGATGCCACTCTCGTGACTGATGTGGCCGAGAAGGCCGACCCGTACGAGTGTCTTACGAAGATGCCCCGCCTTCGATTGCTGACTTGAACTTGCTCGTGCTTCCTTCCGATGTCGGCCATGTCGGTCTTCTTGCACATGCTCTTTTCAACTGACGTGGCGAGGAAGACCCCCAATCACTTGCCGAACGCCTGATGTCGCTCCCCAAGGCGTCCGCTACTACTGCCACCTGTCACGTCACCTGTGGGAAACCCGCGTCCACGTCCCCACGAGCCTGCCGTGACCGATGTGGACGAGAAGGATGACCCTTTCTGTGCCGTGTCGCCTGGCTATGTTCCCCCTATGTCGACGAACCTGATGGAGTACTATAGGCAGGTCAGAGCATCGGGTAACATGGGAGAGCTTGCAGGTCAAGGAATTCTTACCTGCTTTACAAAAACAGAGATGAAATAAACATTAAAAACTATCGTCGATCACCCTTCTCACTGTGGTATACAAGCTGGTGGCGAAGGCACTGTCCAATAGGATGATCTTAGTCCTGGAGGATATAATCTACCCGACACAAACAAGGTTTATGTGCAATAGGAACATCCATGATAACGTGCTATTGGTCAATGAATTAATCAAATTATCGAGGCAGTCGCGGCAAAACGCAGCCATACTGTTTATCGACTTCGAAAAAGCATACGATCACATATACTGGGGATTCTTGGATAAATGCTTGCAGAAAATGAGGTCTGGAATTTTGAGATTGGATAAGAATACTCCACTGCAATGCGACTACATGGGTGCAGGTGAACAGGCTCCTAACTCCGGAGATCCAATTACAGCGCTCAATACGGCAGGGGGACTTGATAGCCTCATTTTTTTTTCTCGTAGTAATGGAAGTGCTGAATGCCAATCTGAGAACTAACAAAAAAATACCTAGGCTCCGTTTGGCAAGCATCCCAGAGGAAGCCATACCTGTCTACTCGATGTTTGCGGACGACCTGACAATAGTTGTGGAAGCCACCCGAAGTAATATAGACAAAATTCAAGCCCTGATGGGGCGCTTTACCCAGGTCTCGAACATTTTCATCAACTGGGGAAGCAAAACACAAGGCTGGTGGGCCCACTTCTATGGGGTTCGTCCCCCCGAACAGCCGAAGGTGGATTGGAGACCCCTCGAGGAGCAGATCCGAGTCCTAGGGGTGACACTCTTTGCTTTAGGCCCACCGACAAGCAACGACAAATGAATCACTAGGCCTGCGCTACAGAAAATGCAGGAATGGGCAAAGAAAAATACCTCTATCTTCGGGAGAGCGTTGATCATCAATAACGTTGTGCTAGCATCAATATGGTATGAATCAGTCATTTGACACCTAAGTAAGCATAGTGTTAGGGCCCTCAAAAGATACTTAGTGATCTTTCTCTGGCGAGGGGATCACGAGCAATAAAATGTGATTAACCGGGTGGCTTGGGACACGATGGTCCAGTCGAAGACCAGGGGAGGTTTGGGATTGTTGGACCCGTCTCTACAAGCCATAGGCCTATCAATCCAATGGGTTAAAAAATTGATTGTCGGTATAAACCCCCCGTGGTGGGGCTCCGTAGCACCAAGAACCGATCACAAAGTGGACCCACTCACATGGCTCGAGGACTAGTATTGGTCTATCCCCCAAGCCAACTCACACTCAGTAGTGGAAGGGAACAAAGGAGCAGCGAGACAATACCTGATCAAGGACAAGTTTTTGGTCAACCTCATCCGAAACTGGAGAATGTTGCTGATCCCTCATAGACCGTCCCCCGAACGCATAAAGGAAATTATGCGCCAACCCTTGTTTGAAAACAGAGCAATCACGGATAGGCAAGGCCGGGTTTTCTTCAATTCAGACCCTCGTTGGTCCTCCTATGTCAGACATGGGATTCTTTGGGTAGGGGACATATGGGATGAAGGAAACAAGGACTGAAAATTGGCCTAACAACTAAGAACCTACCTTCCCCACGTTCGCAAGCTGGCGGACGCTCTAGAACAGTTGATATTCTCGATTCCCCTAGCTTGGATGGTAATCCTAAGGAAAGGACCGTCACTACAGGAACAAGATTGGGTGACGGTCAGGGTAGTAGAGGAGCTCCCCTTACGAATAGGTTCCGTAGTGGAAGTCAGAACGGAAGGGGCGATGATTAACCTATTTGAGAGAAGAGGGGACGATACATTGGTCAGATACCACCCGGAGTCGATCCAGTGGCATGACAAAACCAACCTTTAACGAATTCGGGTGTTGTAGTGCCACGAGGAGGTGAGGACCCAATGGCAAGTCTACCGACCGGAAATCCCGTGTCCTGCTTAGCTCTGGACCCACTCGAATGACAATGGGAGAGTGGTCGGCAAGGGCAACCAATGCAACTTGCTGAACTATCAGTAAGAACCACTTATAGGATGATTAGACCCAGGGTGGATGTACGGGCAGGGATAGGGGACAGATGGAAGAGACACTTAAGGTGACGATCAGATTAGAGGCCGACAATGGTTCAAGGGCATGAAAGAGAGACCGACGAAGTTCACCTCCCTACAATGGCAAATCATCCATAGATGTCTCCCCACAAACAACTGGATCATCGACAGAACGAACCTGGAACAAAGGGGGGAGCCCCTCCCATGGTGCAAATCCTGCTATATAGGTTTCCCGAGCTGTAGAATATGTGGGACAATATAACACATCTTCCTCCAATGCCCAGGGACTGTACTAATGTGGCGATGGTGGGACCGCATCTGGTCACAACTAGGAACCGAGGAGGAATGGCCGTGGAGTTGGGAAACAATATTGTTAGGTGAGTGGCGTAGACCACAAACATCCCACTATGCCAATAACCTTTTGCACTTCCCCAACAGGAAGATATTCAGAAACTCAGAAGGCAATTACTCACTATTGCATAGGAAAGACGGAAAGGCTACCTAGTCAGGAGCAAACTATCAAAGCATCAATCAGAAGGACAGATGGATTCCTCTTTCTTCTCATTAGCGCAAGCTAGAATAAAAAGGACAAAGATAAAAGCTTTAATAGATCAAGTTGTTTCAATTAACCTGGAGCCGGTTTCGTCAGAAAGTAGTCTAAAAGTGACTTATGATTTATTTAAAAAGTTGTACTCATCGACGGTGGATCCAGAGGTAGTTTCGCAAGAAACTCAAGAGTTCCTGATACCACTAACACAAAAATTATCACAGGAGCAAAGAGAGAAAATGAAGGAACCAATTAACAAGGAGAAAATTTGGACGGCGCTCCTGCAAATGGATGAAGATAAAACCCCCGGGGTGGATAGTCTCTCGAAAGAATTATGGGAAGCAATGTGGATTCCAATGTTAGAAGATCTAATGAAATACTACAGATAGGTTCAAATAGCTGGCAATATAGGGAAAATTGTTGGTCAAGGGATACTAACATTACTATATAAGAAAGGAGATAAGACCAACATAAGGAACTATAGGCCAATCACCTCGCTGACTGTGGTGTACAAAATGTTAGCAAAAACCATAACTAATAGGCTTATTCCAATAATGATAGACATTATTCATCCCTCCCAAACAAGTTTCATTCATGGGAGAAATATTCAGGATAATGTGTTACTAGTCAATGAGGTGATCAAAATATCCAAATAAAATAAACAAAATATGGCTTGCATATTCATTGATTTTGAAAAAGCATATGATCATGTAGATTGACATTTTCTGGATGCTTGCTTAGTTAAATTAGAATTCGGTCCAGTAATAAGAAGATGGGTACATTTACTGCACTTTAACGCCACAACGAGAATTCGGGTAAACGGCCTACCGTCTCCTGAAATCCCTCTCCAAAGGTCTGTCAGACAAGGAGATCCGTTAACCCCATTTTTACTTATTATTATCATGGAGGCACTAAGAGCTAACATGAGATCTAATCATAATATTCAACGCCCACGGATCTCTTACCTTCCAGAAGAAGTTATTCCAATTTATTAAATGTTCGCAGATGACCTAACTATCATGATGGAGGTCTCCAAAACAAATATGAAATAAATTAAGGCTCTAATGGATAAATTCTCGACCCTCTCGGATATGCTGGTAAATTGGGGCAATAAAACACAAGGGTGGTGGATACATTCCCAAGGAGATAGACCACCTGAAATCCCTAGGATCAAGTGGATGCATCTTGAAACTCCCATCAGGGTGTTAGGGGTAATACTGACTGCACAAGGGAAACCTAACTCAAATGATCTATGGATTTCGGCTCCTGCATTAAAAAAAATAAAATTATGGAGAAATAAACATACATGATTATTTGGGAGGACCTTAATTATCAACAATGTGGTCATAGCCTCAATCTGGTACAAAGCAATGTTATGGTCACTCAACAAAACTGCGACAAACGAGTTACTGAGACAAGTAACAACGTTTCTTTGGCGTGGAGATCATGAATCACCAAATGTGATCCCAAGAGTGACTTGGCATACTGGAATTCAACCTAAAGATAAAGGAGGGTTAGAACTTATTGACCCAAAAACACAATGTAAGGCTTTAGCACTCCAAGTATTAAAACGATGAATTCTGACCACGGACCTGCCATGACAAGACCTGGCGCTAGAACAAATTCGAAGATTGGCACCACAAACGATTAAGGAGATTCATCCTCTGACCTGGGTGGATGACATGTTTTGGATCATCCCTCGAGTCTAGACACAGTCAATGGAAACAGGGGCAAGAAGGAAGGCGAGGAAAGACCTAACTCACGATGGTTTCTGGTCAAACCAGCTAAGATATTGGCGGGAATTGCCTTTACCCAACAAGACAACACCGACAAGGTATGAGGAAATCCTACGTCATCCCTTGTTTGAGAATCGATGGATCACAGACCAAAATGAGAGGGTATTTATTAGTTCGAATTCTTCATGGTCCAGGTGGGTAAAAAATTGGGTAATTG